TTCATGGCTGCCAAGAGCTATTGAGTAAGAATGTAACAGCAGACATTCATTTCCTTGCTGTGTTTGTCCGACAACTCACTGTTTCAGCTGGAAAACTCATTACTCATGAGTACTTCTTTCCCAGGTACAAGAACATAAAGATGTATTTATTGAACACTTTTCGGAACAATAGCAGTGAGCTATTAATCCAAAAATACACTCAAATATTAAGTTTAAATACTAGAGAAAATCGAAACATTAAAGAGAATCTAAAAATACATACCAAATATTTCTTTCATTTATTCATTCATTTTCAAAATTGAAACATAATTCAAATTAAGTCAAATCATTTCTAGTCAACATGTGTATCACAACTAACATAAAATTTCACACAACATAACATAAAAATTCCCAGTTTTAAAGTTTGTACAATTCAGTGGTCTTAGTATATTCACAAAGTTGTGCAAGCATCACCACTGTCCAATTCCAGAACATTTCCATCACTCCAGAAAGAAACCCTGTACTTGTTAGCAGTCACTCCCAATGCCTTCTGCTTCCTAGTCCCTGGCAACCACCAATCTACCTTCCATCTCTACAGGTTTGTCTATTCTGGACATTTCATGTAAGTGGAATCATACAATATGTGGCCTTTGGTATCTGGCTTCTTTCATATAGCATAATGTTTTCAAAGTTCATCCATGTTGTAGCATGTGTCAGTACTGCATTCCTTTTTATGGTGAATAATATTCCATTGAATGGCTATCACACTTTGTTTATCCGTCATTCTTTCATTAAAAATTATTTTAATTGTGGCAAAATACACAAATGAAATTGACCATCTCAACCATTTTTCAAGTGTACAGTTCAGTGGTATTAAGTATGTTCACATTGTTGTGCAGCCATCTCCAGAACTCTTCTCATCTTGCAAAGGTGAACCTATACCCATTAAACAATAACACCCCATTCTCCTCTCCCTCTAGCCCCTGGTAACCGCTGTTTTACTTTCTGTCTCTATGAATTTGGCTAGTCTAGGTAGCTCATATAAGTGGAATGCTACAGTATTTGTCTTTTTGTGACTGGTTTATTTCACTTAGCATAATGTCCTCAAGGTTCATCCACGTTGTAACATGTGTCAGAGTTTTCTTACTTTTTCAGGCTGAATAATAGTCCATTGTATGTATACATCACATTTTGTGTATCGATTCATCCATTAATAGACACTTGGGTTGCTTCCACTTTTTGTCTATTGTGAATAATGCTGCTGTGAACATAGGTGTACAAATATCTCTTTGAGACTCTGCTTTTAATTCTTTTGGGTATATACCCAGAAGTGCCATTGCTAGATCATACGGTAATGCTATACTTAATTTTTTGAGGAACTGCCATATTGTTTTTCATAGAGGCTGCACCATTTACATTCCCCCCAACAGTGCACAAGGGTTGTTTCTCCACATCCTCACCAATACTTGTTATTTTCTGTTTTATTCATTTATTTTAAAGCAAGCATTCATTGAGTACTTACTATGCCAAGGCTCTATACTTGGCAGAAACTCGGGCTGCCAAGATGTTAAGTTTCAGTCTCCCTGCTCTCAGGAACTCAGGGCACAATGGGGGAAACAGTCATGTTCAAGAGATAGACTGAAATGCAAAGTGATAGGTGCATAATAGAGATGGATCAGAGTTCTATGTAAACACAGAAGAGGAAATGAAGAATTATTTGGGGAAGGCTTCACAAAGGACCTGACATTCAAGCTAGATGTTAAAAGGTGAGCGAGATGAGGTCAAGTGGAGGGGAAGGGTATTCTAAGCCAACGGAGCAGCACATAGTCGCCAGCCTCCCACACGGCCTCCAAGATGGCATCAGTTATTTGCACCTGCTGGTAAGCATGCTCTTGTATAATCCACCCATTGTGCATTGGGACATTGAATAGTTCTGACCTATAAAACCAATAGGATATGGTGAAAATGACAGTGTGCGACTTCTAAGGATATACCATAGAAGAACTCTTGGCTCCTGCCTCGCTTACTCTTGGATCTCTCACTCTGAGGGCAGTCAGCTGCCATGTCATGAGGACATTCAAGATGCCTTCTGGAGAGTCCCAAGTGAAGAGGAACTGAAACCTCCTGCCAGCTTGTCAGCGTAAGAATGCCAGCATCGAGCCAGCCCTGATGGCCTAGCAGTTGAAGTTAGGCACACGCTGCTTCAGCGGCCTACGTTCAGTTCCTGGGTGTGGAACCACACGACTTGTCTGTCAGTAGCCATGCTATGGCAGTGGCTCACATAGAAGAACTAGAAGAACTCACAACTAGAATATACAACTATGTACCAGGGCTTTGGGGAGGGAAAAAAAAAGAGAGAGGAAGATTGGCAACAGATGTTAGCTCAGGGTGAATCTTTCCCAGCAAAAAAAAAAAAAAAAGAATGCCAGCATCAACTTGCCAACAGGTCACCTGAGGAAGCCACGGTGGAAACCGGTCCTCTAGCCCATCAAGCCCCCACATGATAGCAGCCCTGGCCAACGTCTGACTGCAACCTCATGAAAGTCCTGAGCCAAAACTGCCCTCCAAGCCACTCACGATCTCCTGACCCAAACCACCCAAAAGCCAAAAACCAACATGAGATAATATATATTTATTATGATTTTAAGCCACTAAGTTTTGAAATCATTTCTTACGGAGCAAGAGATAACTAATACAGCTAGAAGCATGAGAAGATCTAGTATACTGTGGAAATGGTGGCATGAGAGACCACAGCCAGAAACTCGAAGTTTAGGGGCCAGCCTGGCGGCGTAGCAGTTAAGTTTGTGCATTCCACTTCAGCGGCCCAGGGTTCGCTGGTTCAAATCCTGAGCATGGACCTACTCACCGCTCATCAAGCCATGCTGAGACAGCGTCCCACATAGAAGAGCTACAACTCTACAACTATGATACACAACTATGTACTGGGGCTTTGGGGAGAAAAAAGAAAAAAGGAAGATTGGCAACAGATGTTAGTGCAGGGCCAATCTTCCTCAAAAAAAAAAGAAAGAAAGAAAGAAAGAAACTCAAAGTTTAGCGATGCCCCTGAAACCCCATGGTCTACGTAAGAGTGGGCAAGGGAGCCATCTGGTGGAGGAAGACTGATTAGACATTCCCTTCCCTCTTCCCACTCCCATTTTTCCAGCTTTTTCTACCCAGCATTTCCCCCTAGTATTTTTCCAAGGGCCACGGGAGGTTTATGAGTCAATTATGTGGGTCATACACACCCCCTTGCTTATAGATGCAAAGACTAACCTCTGAAAAGTGTCAAGTTAAGGTATCAATTATCCTCTTTTCCTATTTTATTTTCTTAGTCTTTTCTACCTATCTGCTATCCAGGGGAAAACATCAGTGGCACCAGGATTTGAGCCAAAGAATGGAGACTTAGAATGTTGGAGAAGGGGAAGAAGGAACTAGGAGAATCTGATTATAAAAAATCAGAGTCAGACCCCAGAAAGCAGAGTCCAGCTGACCAGTCTCTAATTACCAGGGGAAGCCGTTGTTCAGTGATGTTGGCCTGACTGTTGTCCCCTTCTGTCTTTAGAGCCTTGTTGTATTCTCCAATGTCCCCCCAAATAATGTCTAGGGATTCTTGAATAATATCCTTCAATTCTATAGCTGCCAGAAGAGAGAACCAATAATACTACCAGCCACAGCCAGCCAGAGGCGAGTGGTCCAGGCAGACCCGAGGAGGAGGAATTGCAAAGAAACTGAAATTTACCTTTGGAGTAAATTACTGATGGTAGAATTTCAAGTAGTTAAAATATGAAGAAAAAAAATTCTTCTTTCTGTATTTCCCCTAGACTCATCCTAAAGGAGGGGAGGCAGAGTCCAGTGGAGAGGCCTGGCCCAGTCACAAGCCAGGCCCATTCCTCTAAGAGGTAGGGGATTTCTGAATACAGCCTAGTGGGTCTGTCTACATTCTAGCTGTTTGGAGGGGAAAGTGATTACTTCTAGATGGGGCAATCAGGAAAGGGGTACAGACATTTGACTCCTGCTTAGATGAATAGGTTGGATTTGGACGAACCAAGACTGGGGGAAGGGCATTCCTCTCCAAGTTCACAGTACAAGCAATGCAAGGAGACCTGAGTGCAAGGGGCATTTGAAGGCAACAATGAAGGGGTTCTGAAGTTAAGAGGCTCCTGAAGGGTGGATTAGCAGGGGATGAGGCCAGTAAACGCAGGCTAAGGTGGGTGGCGGTATGGTTGAAGGTGCTGGGGTCACATGACACATGAGAATCAAATCCCAGCTCCCAGTTGCATATCGGCCGAATGACATTGATGAGGTTCCTTAACATGTCTCAGATTCCTCGTCTGTAAAATGGCGATAACCCTAACAGGATTGCTGGAGAACTAGATAAGATAATGCCTATGGAGAGCTTAGTCCAGTGCCTGGCGCCTTGTAAGCTCTCAGTAAATAAGTGCTGGTGTAATTAATGCCAAGCCATAGGATCCACGCTTTAAGGGAGATTAACTGGACAACATCGTGAGAAGTGGAGTGAGTTGGGAAAGGCTTGCACAGGCCCCTGTACACAGTAGCTACTTAGGAAACACTGAACGGAATTGCATTCTCTGCTAGGCATCGGGCATATAGGATATGGTTTCCGCCTCTCCTGGGCTCCCGGTCCTGAGTCGGGGAGGTAAGTGCCAAAGTTGGGGGTTGGGAAGAGGATGCAGACCTCAATTCGTCAGCTTAGCTTCTCCCCAACTGTTCTCTGCCGGAATCCTTCAGAGCGAGGAGGGACAGCGAGGTGCAGGATCCCCAAGGGCGTGCTCCCAGGTCCCCGCAGGATTTTGCGAATCGCTGTCGCGCAGAGACAGCTTTAAGTCAGGCGGGGCCGGGGAGGGGAAGGCGCGCAGGCGCAGTGCTGACGAGGGCGCTCACCTGTGCTAGAGCGGGCGGAGCTAAACCCCGGAGCGGGAGCGGAGGCGGGGCGGGCGCGATGACGTCACGGGCACGCCGCCGCAGAGCAATTCGCGTCCCGGAAGCGGTAGCGGCGCGGGAGGTGGAGGAACCTCTCGGAGCTGAGACATCAGAGCCGACCAGGGGAGAAACGCGTCGTCGGGGTGGGGCGGGCCTGAGGAAACGCTCGGGGGCTCAGTAGCTCTAGCAGTGCCCCGTGGCCGTCCCCGCCCCTCCCCCCTACAGCCCAACGACCGGGTAGGTGAGGTGCCATCCCCTCTCTACCCCCGTGTCTTCGCCGATTGTGGGGAGTTGGGCGTCTGGGGGCCGCCACCTGCTGGCCCTTTGGCCTCGGGCGTGGCCTTCCCTGGTCAGGTCCGCAGGGCATCGTCAGGCTCCTTGGGCTGCAGACGTCGTGGTCCGGGCCCGTGCCGGCGCCGACCTGCTTCACACCCTCCTGGGCTCCTATCTCGCCCTCTCCCTGGGGCTTTTCGTCCTAGCTCTACCTGGGGGGATTTCGGTGGCCCCTTTGTCACCCCCCCCCCCCAGGTTTGATCGCATCCCATTGCCTGGGACTGGTTTCTGTTGCTGTGCGCCAAGGTTCCGCCCCCTTGTTTTCTGCTTAGCGTTTGGGTAGGACTTGGAAATTAGGAAAGAGGGTGCGAGTCCCAGTGGCTCTCCTCATCAGAGAAGAGAGATGGGAATGGGGCGTTTTGGAAGGTGATGACTGTCCCGGGGTTCAAGGGGGGATAAGGGGAGGGTAATGTGCAAGGATGGTCCAGGAAGTTGTTGGGAGCAGAAGGGAGCCGGGTCAGTTAGAAGATGGGGCAGGGCAGAGGAAAGCACTGGGGTTCTAGAGGATGGGCAGTTCTTTCACTCATTCGTCCTTCCCTCATTCGTCAGCATTTGTTATGTGCCCATTGTGTGCAGAAACAGTGGTGAATGGTAGACATGGTCTTTGACCTGGTGGAGCTCAAGGTTAAGAGGGGCAGACTGGCAAGAAAGCAGGGAGTTTTACTTTGGTGCGATGAATGCTTTTAGGGTGAGTACATGATCCTTTGGGAGAATTGGGAAGAGTCTCCCAGTCCAGACTGGGGGTGTTGGCAAAGACTTCTCAGAGCAAGGGAGTGATGTTTGTCAATACCTGAAGGATGAGTAGGAATTAACCAGGTAAAGAATGGGAGAAAAATATTTCAGGACATTATTTCTCTTGAGATGCCAGGCTGCCTTGCCCCAGCAACCATTTGTGCTTGGGCTTTATGGTTTACACTCTTGGTGGGTCTGTGGGGAAAAGAACATTAGATGGAGAGTCAGAAGAGCAGGATTTTATATCTGGGTAATTCTCTTCACCTTGCTGAAGATCAGTTTCCTCCTCTGTGAAGTGGGCCTTCCACTGGTAGGCCTGCCTGCCTCACAGGTTTATTATGGGCACCACATGAATGCAAGTAGAAGTGTGTTGGGCATTGGAAGTGCAATGGGAATGTCAGGAATTATTATGGTTACAGGATGCAGACATCAGAGCGTGACGGGTGTGGGCCGGAGGTGAGCCCCAGCGTGATGCCGGAGGCCTCCCTGGAGTCTCCACCTGCCCCTACCAAGTCCCCAGCGTTTGATCTTTTCAACTTGGTTCTGTCCTACAAGAGACTGGAGAGCTACCTGGAACCCCTGAAGGACGCAGGTGACGGTGTCCGGTACTTGCTCAGGTACAGCCTTTGTGGAGTTGCTGTGACCCACTGGGCCTTCTGCCTTCCTGCTCTGTAGTTGTGCTGGCCATTTAGGCAGTGGCTGGGCTGTCCTTTCTGCCCTCGTGAGGAGCGGTTCGGGGAGGTCCATTGGGCCTCTGGGCTTATTCCAGGCTCACCCTGTGTCTCAGGCCTAACCCAGGAGAGGCAGGCCCTGAGAACCATCTGGGCTTTCACCAGGGTTTCTTTTTTGTGGCTGAATAAGCTTATACCTCAGGACTGCTAGGTAGCCTTGAACATGGAGCATTCTGTATCTAGAGCAGGCTTTTATTTTTCTTCTCTCCCAATATTAGCTTAATTAATATTAAGATTAGGATATAAGTTTGAACATAAGTTAAAGAAATACAAATACCTATGAATAAGCAAGTACCATTTTCCCTGAACCTTTAGGATTATAGATCTCAAAATTTTTTGTTCCTCTTCTGCTTTTATTTTCGTCCTTCATAATTTCCTTTTTTCTCTTTTCAGCTCACTTTATTTCTTCTGTTAAAGTACTTTAAATTACAGATATATGCCATTCCACTCCCTAAATACTTCAGTTTGTCTCTAAATAATATTTTTTTCATAGTCAAAGGAATGTCATACCTAACAAAATTAACAATAATTCCTCAGTATCGTCCTATACCCAGTTCATGTTCAGATTTCCTCAGTTGTCTCAAGAATGTCGTTTACGATTGTTTTGGCCAAATCAGGTTCCAATCCAGGACTGTGCATTCTATGTGGTTATGATGTCCCTTAAGTCTTCATCTAAAATGGTCTCTTCTTTCATGACACTGACATGTTGAAGAGACTCAGCTGACTATCCTGGAAAATTCCCTACGTCGATTTGTCTGGTTGCTTCCTCATGGTGCAAACTGGAAGTTAGATTTAAAGGTGGGATTAGATTCAAGTTAAAACTTTTTTTTTTTGCAAAGGTCGTGTGTTCCTAATACTGCATCTCAGTGGGAGTTACATAAAACCTGGTTGTCCTACAGAGCAGACGTTCTTAACCTGGAGTCTGAGTGGGGCTTTAGCGGTCAATAAATCTCCTGCAACTGAATGTAAAATTGTGTGTGCACAAACAAGTATATTTCTAGGGAGAAGTTTCTAGTTTCCATCAGATTCTCATAAAGACCTTCAACCCTCTGAGATGCTTGAGAGACAGGTAGGAGGCAGGGTGGGTGGAATTGGGTTAACCTCTAAGGGTGCTATTGAGTATTCATTCTTACCTCAGTCTGGAAATAGTGGGAGGTTTATTTTTAACACTCTGACCAAGGCCCTATATTTTTCTTGTTCATCCCAGAACCCCTTTAATTTATGACGTCATCCCTAAAGATGAGCTAGTCAGTATTCTAGGGCAGTGTTCTCTACGATTAGATCACTGTACTCTTGGTGCAAGGTACAGGGAGATGGTGTGAGGAGGGGCTTGTTTTATAATCCCACCATGACCAGCTCGCTGAAAAGAACTTTGGTCTTCCTTGGGGGAGGGGGTGGGCTTTGCAGAGCATGGGGCTGTACCCTCTGGTGTTTTCTACTGTGTGTGTGTGTGTGTGTGTGTGTGTGTGTGTGTGTTGCCCTTTCGTGGCAGTACAAATGTTAAATATATCCTGTCCTTCTCCTTTTCCGCCACTGGGCTGTTAGTGCTTCTTGGCGCTAATGTGTTCGAGTTTTTCCATTTCATGAAGTTAGAAATCTGAGGATGTGGTGGGATTGATTAAAGCTGGATGGAGGAGGAGCATGGGGCCTAAAAAGCCCCCAGGAGCTTGTGGTCTCTGCCCTGGGAGACGGAGCACTGGTCTGTGGAAGTGGCTGTCAGATTAGTTTGTGTGTTTGATTGTTCTTTTCTTAGTAAAGAGGATTTGACTTTGAAGAGGGACCTAATCTTGAGGTCTGGCTATTGGGTCTGAAGCCTGGAGCTGCAGTAGATTTTTAAAAGACCCCTCTGTTCTGGATCAGCTACTCCAGTAGGTGGGTCTCTACGACCAAAGTGTCAGGGAAGACATCAGAGAGAATGGGAGAGGCTCCTCATGGCTATGTGATGTTTTTATTCTGAAATAGGATTGGCCTCAGACCTGACTTTTAATTTGCTTTTAACCTGGTAGCTGCCACTAGATGGTTCGGAGGCCTAATTAGGGTGGTACAGTTGGAGTGTATTGAATTTTAAGAGAAAGGCAGAGAGAGGTCATTTCATTCCCTTACTCATAACTTTTATTAAGAAATAAAAGCAGCACATAAATTAGTTCACCTCATTTAGTAGTATGAAATACTCCAATTAGAGCAAAAGAAAATATGTTTTGAGTTCTGAATACATTTCTTGCCAGCAGCTTACCTGTTTATTTTTCTATTTGTCTCTCTCCTCTGATGCCTCACCTTATGCACTGACACTGCTCTTTAGACTGTAGGTCTCAGTGGCTTTATTATTACATCTGTGCTCCTTTTTCCCTGTTAAATGTCTTTCACCAGGGACTAAGCCAGCAGTGTTTGCTTGTCCTCAGCAACTTGAGTCTCTGCTCCTCTTTCTTCCCCCTTTGGGGGCTTCTGCATTGCCATTTGGTGGTGGTGGTGGGTGCTGGGTCTGGGTTTGCTTCCATCTGTTCCAGTTCACTTGGGGCGTGTTTGCTGAAAATGCTGTACCCTGGTTTTGTCTTCATTTTTTAATGTGTTTTAAAATAAAATCTTTATTATTTTTTTCCTTTTGAATTAATGTATGTTTAAAACAGACTCTCAAAATTACAGAAATAAGAGAAAGTCACAAATGGGGTCAAAGAAATCCTTCACATTTTATTCTCTCAATTTCCATATTAGCTGAATCTTGCACAGTGAATGTTCGTATGAAATTGTAAAAAAGAATAAAGGAAGATTTTAAAGAATAATGTTTGCCATCTTCACCTCTTTAAAGAGACTAAAACCTTACAAACACCGGTTAAACAATGTTAACGGATTTCTTAATAGATAATGAATTCTTCCCCCTTCTGGGAGAAAGTTCTACAGGTTTTCTAGTTCTGAGAGGACACCTTTTCTCAGCCCAGGGCTTGATATGTGACCGTAACTCCTCTCCCGGTCACCTATCCAAGTGAGAGGCCCACTTTTCATTTCTCCTTGACACTCTGAGGTCCAGGCCCCCTCCTCCTGCTCCTGCTCTTGATGGCCCACCTGAGCTAGCCCGTCCCGCCTTCCCAGCTGGAGGAGCGGCTGTCTTCAGTGACCACGACTCTCTGTGTTGTAGGTGGCAGACGCCTTTGTGTTCCTTGCTGACCTGCCTGGGCCTCAACATCTTGTTCCTCACTTTGAATGAGGGTAAGAACTGCTTCCAGGGGCCCGGGGTTTTTGTGAATGAATGTGGGGAGGAATTCCGAGAAGCGGCCGCTTGCTTGCCCTGGAGTTGGCCTCCCTTTGTGTCTGCTTGGCATCAGAACACAGGCTCCAGAGAGATGCACTGTGGGCTGGAATCCTGGCTGGGCTGCTCATGTGACCAGGTTAAAGAACCTGCCCGTTAAGGCCTAATTTTCCTCATCTCTAGAGGGAGGATGATAACAGTGCTTTCCTCAGAGGGTAGTTGCGAGGACTGAGATAATCTGTTTAACTCTTAGCACAGTGCCTGACACAGAGTAAGCAGCCAATGCATTATAGCTATTATTTTATCCTTTCCTTTTTTTTTTGTTATTGAGGAAGATTGGGCCTGAGCTAACATCTGTTGCCAGTCTTCCTATTTTTGCTTGAGGAAGATTCGCCCTGAGCCAACGTCTGTGCCAGTCTTCTTCTATTTTGTACGTGGGTCGCTGCCATAGCATGGCTGACCAGTAGTGTAGGTCCGCACTTGGGATCCGAACCCGCGAACCTGGGCTGCCAAAGCGGAGTGTGCTGAACCCAACTGCTACATCATGGGGCTGGCCCCATTATTGTTTCCTTGACCAATTGCTGATGCATTGACCTTTTTCCATTTTGGTTTCCAAGATGATTCCAGGGTCATTTAGGGGCATGACATGGGTGAGGGTACCAGGAAGGTGAGCTGATAAGGGATTTTTGTCAGTCTATTGATTTTTCTCTAGCTCAGCAAGTAAGCCTAAAAAGGGCTGCTGGGCAGTCACCAGCCGTGAGGGGTCTGTGGTGTGAAGCCTTTGAGGTAGACGTGTGGGTAGGTGAGTGGGTGGCTGTAGGGGCCTAGGGTAGGGATGTTTCCTGGGGACCTTTTATGACAAAGCATGCCGTGACCCAGCCCTTTCCCTGGTTGGAACTGGCAGATGGCTGCAGAATGCTGAACCCCTTGGTGGCGGGGTAGTGGTGAGTGAAGGACCTGGGACAGAATGTTCTAAGGAGTTTGGTCCTATATTCATATTCGTTCTTCTAGCAAACTCACATTTCTCAAGTGTCTTCTTTGTTTCTTATGGAGATATGGGTTCAGTGGGTTGAAAGTAAACCCAGTTCACATAAGACCTCATCTTCTGTTTCTTAGTAGGACTCTGCCTGATTGAAGCTCAGATATCCTTCCTAGGCTGTTAGATTTTTCGAAATATATTTCCAAAGAAAATCGGTTCATATGACAGACACTGAATAAACATTTACTCTGTGCCCGGTGCTCTCTTAGCTTGCTTCAGGGGTACCGTCTTTCATGGAAGAAGTTCCTTCTTTGATTTTCTCTCAGCCTCACCATTTCTCAGTCCACGGTGGTCTGTGGTATCCTAAAAGCCAAAGGAAAGACTTCCAGTTTGCCCCAGTGTCTCAAAGGTCGGAATGTCAGTTGTCAAGAGCTCCCAGTGGCCAGACTTCAGGCACAAGCCACTGACTGTGTGCTAGCAGAGGTTTTTTAGTATTTAAAAAAATGGATCTGAGGCTACAGCCGTGACCAAATGGACAAAGTCCCAGCCTTCAGGAACCCACATTCGTGGAGGAGACAACCACCATACCTATGATCTGTCATGTGATGATAAGTGGTATGAGGAGAAGTAAAGCTGGGTTAAGGGGTAGAGAGTAAGGGGGGATGTACTGCTTCATACGGGGCCATCAGGAAAGCCCTCTTGGGCAGAGCCGTGGAGGAGGTGAGCGAGGGAGCATGTGGACACCTGGGTGGGCAGAGCCTCCTGGTCCTTGCTGCTGCCTGTTTACCTACAGTGTGGTTGCTCCCACAGGCGCGTGGTACTCGGCAGGTGCCCTCATGATTTCCGTGCCCGCCCTTCTGGGCTACCTTCAGGAGGTTTGCCGGGCACGGCTGCCCGAGTCGGAGCTGATGCGGAGGAAATACCACAGCGTGAGGCAGGAGGACCTGCAGAGAGTTCGCCTGTCTCGCCCCGAGGCCGTGGCTGAGGTGAAGGCCTTGTGAGTATGGAAGGGGCCAGGGAGGTGAGGGACAGTCACAGTGACAGCAGCCACCACGCTGAGTGCTTGCTGCAAGCCAGGCATTGTATTAGGCAAACCACAGATGTTATTTCCTTTCATCTTGTTAGCAGTTGTGGGAGGTAGCTACTATTATTATCCTCCGTTTATGGATGAGGGAAAAGGCTTACACAGCTAGAAGGTGACCAGGCGGGGGTGAGAATCCAGATCTAGCTGATTTCACAGCTTGTGTTCTTTCCGCTAGAGAGAGGGTTTAGGGTCTTGACTAAGCATGTGCTTGCACAAGCCACTGCCTGGGTGCAAATCCCAGCTCTTCCATTTACTTTCTGTGTGACATTGGGCAAGTTGCTCAGCCTCCCTGTGCCTCAGGTTCCTCATCTATTAAATGGGATAATAATAGGCTTACCTCATAGGTGGTTGTGAAGATTAAACAAGTGTCTGGTACCCAGGAAGTGTTCAGTAAATATTAGTCATCGTCACTGCACTATGGAGAAACTGTTTAAACATGCTAGAGCTGGTACTTCTGAGGACACACCTTACGACTGTTGAATAAAATTAACCGTAACGGCTTCAGTGGCAGCTGGCACTTACTGAGCCCTCCCCAGACCAGGCTCCCTTGACATAGAACAGGGTTCTCATCCCTCTCTGGGCAGCAGAGGTATCTGCGAAGCTTCAAAAAAACGTTATAAAGAAACGGAGGCCTGGGCCTGCCCCAGAAATTCTGAGTCAGTTATCTGGAGTGGGTATCTGTGGTTTTTAAAAAAACCTTTTTACTTTGAAATGACTTTAAACTTAGAAGAGTTGCAAGAATAATATAAAGAACTCTTGTGTGTCCTTTACCCAGATAGAACAATTATTAACATTTTGCCACACTGGCTTCTTTTTTCTTCCTGAACCATTTGAAAGTAAGTTGCAAACATCATGCCTACTTACATCAAATACTTCAGCATGTATTTCCTAAGAATGAGGACATTCTCTTAAATATCCACAGTCCTGTAATCAAAATTAGGAAATTTTACACCAATGACATTAACATTAGTACTGTTATCTAATATATAGTTCATAATCAGATTTTACCAGTTGTATTAATAAAATCTTTTATATAAATTCCCCTGATCCAGGATTCAATCTAGAATCATACATTACATTTAGTTTTTATGTCTGTTTAGTCCCCTGTAACAGTTCCTTAGTCTTTTTTTCTCCTGACCGTGACATTTTTAAATGGATCAAGCTTAGTCTTTTGTAGAATTTCCCCCAATTTGGGATTGTTTGGTTGCTTGTGATTAGATTCAGGTTGCGCGTTTTTGGCAGGAATATGACAAGTGACATTGTGTCGTTGTCAGTGTGTCACATCAGGAGGCACATGCTGTAAGTCTGTCTCATTATGGGAGGTAATAACTTTGATCACTTGGGTGAGGTTTCTCTGCTGTAAAATGACTGCTGATGGGTCTTGCCTTCATCAGTTTATTACTACGATGGTTGCAAAGGTGATTTTCTAATTGTCATCATTAGCTGGCATTCTACTGTAAGAAAGAGCTTTCCTTCTTGCTTATTATCAATAGGAACTCAAGATTTTTATTTTATTCAATGGGTTCTAATCCATTACTGTTGTTATTTATTTTGATCTCAAATTGTCCTAGACTTGGCCAGTAGGAGCTCTTTGAACTGGCTCTTGTGTTCTTTCAGTATGTCTCCATCATTTTTGAGTTGCTTCCTTACTTGGTGGTACCATGGGATGTTCAGATTCACCTTACACTTTCCCTGCCCTAGCTCTAGAATTTTTTTGAGCCCTTCAGAAACCAGGATCTGGGTGAAGCATGTATTCTTTGCTTCTGGGCGTGCATCTGTTAAAAAAAACCTCTCCAAGTGAGTCTGCCTTATACCCTAGGAGGAGACACATTCCTGCCATTTATCCTCACAGTTCCAGTGTATCTGTGAGGTGGGTACCCTGCTCCTCGTTTTATAGAGGAGGAAATTGCAGCCCTGGAAAAGTTAAGTAGCTGGCCCAACATCAATAGCTAGGAAGAGACCAGAGCAGGAACTTTTGTCCTGTTTCCACCTCAGCAGGGGTTCCAAAAAGGGGACTGAAATGTATGAATTTTCTCCCGAGCTCTCTGAGCTCTCTTACCTCTCCTGTGGGTTCAGAGAGACTGGCCATCCCTAGCCAGCTGTGCCTGTGAAGTGCTAGGCTCTACTGCCCCAAGAGCTATGTCAGGCCGTGTGAATGGGTGGGACAAGGTGTGTGGCTCACAGAAGCCCCCTGTGTCCACAGCTTGATCCAGCTGGAGGCCTTCCTGAGCCGCCTGTGCTGCACCTGTGAAGCCGCCTACCGAGTGCTGCGCTGGGAGAACCCAGCCGTGTCCTCACAGTGAGTGGCCCCTCTGCTCCCACCGCCACTGCCCGGGAGGAATTTGTCACTTGAGCCCCAGGCAGAGCCAGCTGCCTTGAGAAGGCCCCTGCCCCCCTAGCTCGGGAAATAGAGCCTCCCAGGCTCTTGTGTGCATACCCACACGTAGGCTTGCAGGCTTAATGCTCTGCTTTTGTTTAGATGCCTTATTTTAGGTGTGGTAAAAATATTTTAATAATAGAAAAAGAACTCACCGTGTAATCGCCCACCCTTGGAGAGCAGCTGATCTCCTGTTTGGATTGCCTTGTAGAGTTTGTCACGTGCACATACTCTACAGATGTAGCGCTTCACAGTGTATGTGATGTTCCTTTTTTTTTTCTTTTTTCACTTATCGTTATATCATGAATGGTTTTCTTTGTTGCTGCATAGCTTTTGGAATTATTTGTAATACCACATTAATATAGACGGTGAATATACTATAATTTATGGAACTGTTCTATTATACATTTAGTTAATTTCTACTTTTTATTATTAACCCTGTAGTGTGAACATTTTTATGGGTTTAGCTTTAATCTTTTGAAACTTTTTTCTTATTGGATCAAATGAAATGAATGTTTTTGAAGCTCCTTATATGTAAATAATAATGATAACTAATATTTATTTAGCCTTCACCCTAGGCCAGGCACTGTGCTCAACACTTTCCATGTGTTTCTCACTCTTCATAGTAACCCTATGAGGTGGGCGCTATGTTAATTCTCATTTTACATGTGAAGGAGGTAACACTCAGAGAACCAAGGGACTTGGCTAACGTCACACAGCAATAAGTGGCAGAGTGGGATTCACATCCAAGTCTGTCTTATTCCTGACTCCAGAGTCTAGAGCCTGAGGAGTGATGAATGTTGGACTGGCTGACCAGGCCCCAGCCTCGGCCACCACCGCGGCCTCACCAGTGTCAGTTGTTAGCAACCAGTGACTTGTTGGTAGTTGTCAATCCTTCCTCCTCGCGTTATTTTCCACTTGTTTGATTAGTAGATCTGGTTGGTTTATCAGCTGTGCCCAGAGCTGTTTCTCACCTGGACCCTCATATGGGTATATTCCAAATCAGTTTCCTTCTGATCTTGCGAATTTCTGATCCTGTGGTTCCTCTCTCCGTCCAGGTTCTATGGGGCTCTTCTGGGCACGATTTGCGTGCTGTATCTGCTGCCGCTGTGCTGGGTCCTTGCCCTTTTAAACAGCACACTCTTTCTGGGGAATGTGGAGTTCTTGCGAGGTAAGCCCTGGAGAGCCTGCGGGGGCGGTGCAGATGGGGCCCAGGCCGGCTTGGAGGGCTAGGTTAGGCTCCCTGGGTTATCTGTCTTTACAGTTGATCATCCGTGTGCTGTGCCTTCCACAAGGGGGCAGCACCACCCTAGAGTCATCCTTCCAAGGGCTCTTATGGGTTCTGCCTCTCTGAGATGTTAGAAGGCTGCTACCGTAGGGGTCCCCCTCCTTGCCCAAGGCAAGTGAATCACTGCTTACAGGATATAGTGGCTTCTGGGAGATGAAGGAGGGTTGTTTTCCCAGTGCTGCCACCCGCCACCCGCCTCCCGGGATGCAGCCACCTGGAGTTGCTGCCACTTCTCTGTGTGATCCCAGAGTACCGGTCTACCATTGGCGTCTATAGCAGTGAGGCAGTCTGGAGAGGCCCTGAGTCACAGAAGCCTGGGCCTGTACATATGTTTGGGTGATGGCTATATTTGTTTTCCTCCCTGTGGTTGAGTAATTAATTACAGAAGCCGTTAACTGATTGAGCACTTAACTACATTTAATCTCTTTATAATAGTCTTATGGGGTAGGTGGTGGTATCTCTGTTTTGTTTATGAGGTTAGGTTGGGTGACTTGTTCAGAGTTAGGAGGGCGATCTTTCCTGCGCAGACAGTGGGGTGCTGGAGGAAGAGGCCAGCCAGCTGCAGAAGTGAGTACCCCCAAAGCACCACTCATTCCGTCCTGTTTCTGCCTCCCACCCCGTTCTCCTTGCCCTGGGTAGTGGTATCGGAGTACAGGGCATCTCTGCAGCGGCGGATGAACCCCAAGCAGGAAGAGAGTGCCTTCGAGAGCCCCCCACCACCTGATGTTGGGGGGAAGGGCACCCTGCCCGACTGCACACCTGCGCCCACACCCACAGAGGTGAGCGCCCCCACCATCAGGGCAGAGCTTGCTGCGGGCAGGTTGCGGGGTCTTCCTGTTACCAGCTTATTCATACCATATAGCTCCTGGGCGGAGCTCCTGCTTCTTCCCAGCCTCCGTCTCCTCTGAAGTGCTTAATAATAATAATTATAATCCTAATAGCTACTCTGTGCTTTACTGAGTGCTTGCTCTGCTGTTCCAAGTACTCTATAGCTATTAACCCCATGAGGGGTAGGTTATTTCTGAGAAGGAGATTATTCTCATGTGCAGAGGAGAAGGCTGAGGCACAGAGTGGTTGCCTGAGGGTGATAAGGCCAGGACTCAGACTGGGCCCTGTGGTTCTGGAGCCCATGCTCTCAACCACTGTGCTGTCCAGCCACTGTATGTCCATTCGTGGTCTTGGCCCCACCTCCCTGTCCCTGCTCGGTCAGAGAGTACTCTCTTTCCCGTGACTTCTTTCTTGCAGTTGAGCCATTTCCTCTGGGGCAGGAATGGATGTTTTGAGAAACCTGGATGCTGGCTCAGGGCAGGTGGCCTCTGTCTCAGGGGGCAGGGCTGCCATCTCTCTCCTTGTGAAATAGAGTCTCTCTTCCCAGGACCTCACGCCGGGCAGTGTGGAGGAGGCCGAGGAGGCTGAGCCCGATGAGGAGTTTAAAGATGCGATTGAGGTGGGTGGCCCTTCCCCAGCTCCCTCTACTGACCAGGTCAGAAGTTGGATGGTCCTGGAGCCAAGTGGCTTCTCACATTCCAAGTCTGGGTTTTTAAAATTTGCTTATATCCAAATGAGAAGCCAAAACTTGCTCTGAGCTAGAACTCACTGGATGAAAGGGTGCCAATGAACTTCTGCTCATCCTGTCCCTGATCTAGTCATCTGTCCTGGGTGCCAGGGCAGGGATGGCTCTGGAAGCCTCTGAGAAATGCCCTGCTGGGGGAGGCGGATCCTTTACCACCTTGGGTGTAGACTGTGGGCTTGGTCCCTTTGATGTGGGGAAGGCAGATTTGGGGAGGACACTGCCCCGGGTCTCTCACTGCTCTTATACAGAATGAGATCTGAAAGATATCCCTTTAGGGGGCAGGGAGAAGAGGTTGGAGAAAGTGGTACATGGCCAAGTGCTAGGTCAGAGAGAGTTAAATAATATTCCTGATTTTCAGACGTGGTTCAAACTGGTAGTTTGCAGAAATGTTTTATTTGGCATGCAAACCTTAAAAAAATTTTTTTTGAGCAATATTTAAAAATGGGGAGGGGCCGGCCCCGTGGCTTAGCGGTCAAGTGCGTGCGCTCCACTGCTGGCTGCCCGGGTTTGGATCCCGGGCGCGTGCCGATGCACCACTTCTCCGGCCATGCTGAGGCTGCGTCCCACATAGAGCAACTAGAAGGATGTGCAGCTATAACATGCAACCATCTACTGGGGCTTTGGGGGAAAAAATAAATAAATAAAATTATAAAAATGGGGAGATTTCAGTGAAAACTCTGGATTTTCGGTTTCTCTGAAAAATCAGAAGGTCTGGTAGCCCTGAGTCTGTATCAGTGTAGCTGAGGAGTGACTGTCCCCTTTAGAAAAGTCACACAGTCCCCACCAGTCCCCCTTGTCCCCAGTCACTGAGTCCTTCTGGTGGTTGCCGTTTATTGTCCCATTTGCGCTATTGTTTTTCTCATAGTAGGAAATCATTTCTTTTTATGTTTCTTTGTAAAGTGGGAAATTGTGATATAAGAAATGAGGGTCTTGTGAGTTTCCACCTGGCCTACGATTTACACCAGTCCCCTTCACTCTCACATCAGCCTCATCCGTGTAGGCATTTACATTTTCTACTGTTGAAAGATTGCTCTGAGACTTGAGTATATGTTTGTAGACCATGAATCTTGATGGTGGTGGTGGTGGTGGGGAATATATATAACAGAGGCTTTCAGGCATTTTTGTTTATAACTCACAGTAAGGAACACATTTTACGTCTTGACCCAGTTCACACTTGTGTCTGTAAAATATATAAAACTTAACTGAAACAAAAGTTTCCTGAAAAACACATTGTAAGGGATGTTTTCTTTCCTTTCCTGTTCTATTTAAAATAATGGCCCACTTAATTTCACCCAGTTTGAAAAACAGTAGTACACAGTTTCTCCCAAGCTTATTTGATGTTGGGATCGTTTTATGGGGGCCTCTGTTAACGTCAGCCTTTGGGACGTGCTCAGACAGAACTCAGGGTCTGTGCTTGGGGCCCCCTCCCAGCAGCTTCCTTCTTCTTGCTATCTCTCTCTCTCTTTTCTCTCCTCCCTCGCACCTTGGGAGGCAGGAGACCCACTTGGCGGTGCTGGTAAGTAGGAGCCTTGGTAAGATGGGCAGGGGCTGGGCGGGGGGAGGTGGCCAAGCCAGCTGTGACGGTGCCTCGTGGGGTCCACTGTGCTGGGGGGCCTCTGCACGCAGGTCCCGGAGCCCTGCCACAGATGGGCAGGACTGGAAGGAGCTGTTCCCACAGGAGGATGACGAGGGTGCCCCGTGCCCAGCAGAGGATGAGCTGGCCCTGCAGGACAATGGGTTCCTGAGCAAGAATGAGGTGCTGCGCAGCAAGGTGTCGCGGCTCACAGAGCGGCTCCGCAAGCGGTACCCTACCAACAACTTCGGTACGGCCAGGGAGGGGGAACGGGGTGGGGAGGGGCGCCGGGCCACAGGACTTAAGTCTTGGAATTGTGGGTACTAGTTTGTGACAAGAGCAAGGGGTACAGCTGTGTTCGTGGGGCCCTGGGAAGATAGCAGACTCACAGCAGGACCCTCTGTCCTTATTGAACATCAGCTCTTGGGAAGATGAACAACTCAGTTCCGGAAATGCCAGCGCAGGACTGCAGAGAGGTGTAATCCTGAGACAGACAGACACTCAGAAGGCAGTGTAGAATAATGGCTGAGAAGGGCGCGTGGAGTCTGACTGCCTGGTGCACATCCCAGCTCCGCTGGGTGTCCTTGAGCAAATTATTTAACTTCCCTGTGCCTCAGTTTCCCCTCTGTAAAAGGGTTCTTCACTGTTCTTCACAAGGTTGTTATAGGTCTCAAATGAAACAGTGCTTATTAAGTGCTAGCACAGTGCTGGTTGGTTCATAATAAGTGCTTAATAAGAGTCACTGTTAATATGGGAGACCCTAGTCCATCTTGCAGGTTCCTGGAGCCCATCTAGATCTTTTCCATCCAGGTACAAGCAAGTTGAAGCAAATAGTATCTTCCTCTGGGCATGATAGAGCCCTGAGGTCCCTTCTCCCCAGCTAAGTTTGTAGATTGACCAGTCCTTATTTTATTGGGGGATGGCGGTGGGTCAAGGGAGGCGGCTTTGCACGAGGGTGGACTTGACTGTTAGCACAGCTCGGAAACCTGGCTCAGGTCAGGAGAGCAGGAGCTGAGCCAGATAAAGGTATGGCTGAAGCCTAGAGAGCGAGTGATGCGGGAGTCACCGCACTCCTGAAGAGGAGCGTTGCTTCTGCCTGGTGTCAGCTGACGGGGAGGAGGATGGGTGGCTGTACTGTGTGTTCTGGTGGGAGTGAGTTCCAGCGTCTGCCCTGGTAGAAGCCCTGGGGTTTATCTTGAGGAGTTTGACCAGGGCATTCGGGGGCCTGCCTTCCTGCCCCTGCAGCAGCCAGGGCACTTGTTTTCTCAGGAGTGGACGTCCTGGACATGCTGCTTCTCTGCTGTGTGAATGCCCCCCACGCATTCAAGATCTCTTTCTTTTATTTACGATGACTGCTGACCTCTGTGGAGCACTCTTTCTGGTGCATTTACACGTACACTGTCTCATTTAGTCCTGATGGTAGATCTGAGAGGAGCAGGCAGTTCTTATGGGCTTGGAAGCAGCTGGGTTCCAGAAGTCCCAAGTGACGTTACACAAGAATGAATACTCTTGCTCTGGCAAATATTCGTTTATATCTGTGAATTTTAAGTAAAGGCCCTTACATCTTCCCATTTTGGTGAGTGACCTGAAGTGAAAAGAGAGACTTTCCCAAAGTCTTTAGCCAGTGCATGGTAGGGCTGTGACTGAAATCCAGGTCATCTGATCCAGCTCCCATGTTCTTTCTAACTCATCTCTCTCCCTCTGCCCTGGGGTCTGAAGTGTCCTGGTTTTATGTCTGTCCTGTTTCTTTATTTGGTTTTTGGTTCAGATAATCCCTGCCAAAATGGGCGAAGGCCTTTTAGGTTCCCACGACGATGGCAAGGGCAGAAAATGCTTCTTTCCTAAGTCCCTCTGAGTTCTCCATCCTTCAAGACCGCTTGCCATCCTTTCCCTGAGATGTTCTCATGCTTTTTGCTGTGAGGGCGGGTGTAGCAGCTCTGCTCCTGGGTCTGGCTCCAGCAGGCCAGGGTGAGGTGAGCTGCTTTGGGAGCCATTCCATTCCAGCTGCCAGTGGATGAAGGGGGCGCACGAGAGGAATGAAGGCAGGCTGCTCAGGAGCTTCTCTGAGGCCTCCAAGTGGGGGAGTCCTGGTGGAAAGGGCGCCCCTCTGTCATGGAGACTCCATGACCATTGCCCTGGCAGGCCCCACGTGGTCTTAGGCTTCTCCTGCCCTCACTGGCCCCCGTGGCATCATCACATGGTGAGTCAGGACCTTTGCTGAGAATAGGGGCAGGAAAAGTTGGTAGATATTGGAAGGGAACAGGGGTGCCCTCCTCCTCTGTCCGCCTGTCTGAGCTGGTGTCAGTACTCAGAGCCCTCCCTGGCCCCAGGCCTGTGCATGAGTACGTGGTTGTTTAACTAGACCACATGGCTGCCTTGGGGTGCTCAGCCCTGACGCTCCATCCACTTAAGAGGAATCCTTGACACAGGCCAGAGTGTCAGTCTTTGGGCAGCTCCCTTCCTCCATCCTATGCCCCTGCCCATCTTGCTAAGGAGAGGCAGAGGCGGAGGGCCCCGCCCAGATTCTTAGTGTGGGGGACAGAGTCTAGAGCAGCCTGTTTCCTGGTTTGACACCACCAGTCAGTGATACCCACTGTGCTCTTCTCTTTCTTTTCCTCTGCCGGGGCCACGAGCTGACAGCAGCAGCATTTACCTTAAGCCCCTCGGCCTCAGATTTCTCCTTGCTTTAGCTAGGGCCCTCCTTTCCTTGAACGCACTGAGTCTCCCTTAGCAAGACCTGCAGGGGAATCTGGCTGGACAGGGGAAGGGACCACATGTAGCTGCCATTAGAGCTCTGGGGCCTTTGTGTGAGGTTGAGGCCTGGTTCTCTGTACTGGCCTGCCAGACAGCAGTGCTCCCTGAAGCTGATAATTACTCCAGCCAGATCACAGGAGGCCTTTGGGCCCCAAGTTCTAGAAATCTCCTCCAGTAGCCTTATCCCCTCTCAAGTTTTTCCAGGACCCAACTCAGCTTCCTTCTGGGGCCACAGCCCTTGGCATGGCTCTCTGGTCCCCTTTTGGGAGCTCCCTCATGCCTGCCATGAACCCCTGCCTTTTTTCTGCTGGCTCAGTGTCCCCTGCCTTCATGGTGATTTCTGCATTGAGCCATAGTCATTGTTCCTGGGGGCAGCCCTTGGAACCTTCTTGGTTCTTGTTACGAGTTTTCTTTTGCTTCTGGAGCTTGTTGAAGTCATAAGGGCTCGGTGTGGCCTTTCTTCTCCTCAGATCTCAGTTTGCCTCATCCTTCTGATTCTCTTCATTCACCTGTGTGCCCTCCCTTCCTCACGCTCTGTCCTTGTTGCAGCCCACCTTTTCCATCTTTAATTTTCCTGGAAGCATGGGCGGGAGCTGAGCACAGCTTCTGTTAGGCCTAGTTGCCTTGACATAGCCTCTAAAAGAGTGATCAGTCCCCTCCTTCCCCATCCTTCATCTCTTCTTACACCCCTGCCTCCTCCCAGTCATTTTCTTAGCTACCACTGACTCCCCTGTCATTGTCTGAAGCTTTATCATGTTGGGGTTTCTGGTTGTTCCAGCAGGATCTCTCTCTAGGCTCTGTCTCACCCCATCCTGGGCGGCACTGTTTCCCTGCGCACCTTCTTGGAAGGTGCCTGGGTCTGAGCTTCTCTCCTGGAATCTTCAGGCGACAGAAGGGAGGAGTCTGGGGTTTTAGGAGGCATTTCTCTATACCCATGGGTGGAGTATTTGTAAGGAGACGCTACGGAAGGGGCCACGTTAGGCAAGTTTCATTGAAGTCGTTGGAGCCATCTCCTCTGAGGGCTGCTATTGTCAGGTCCCTGCCAGCATGGCCTGATTTCCAGGGAGTAGATTCTGCTGGAGGCACTTTGATTTCGACTGGACCCTCAGGTTGGGCCTCTGAGCTTGAGAGGGTGCAGGGCTGGCAGCTGTGTATAGTCTGGACACATCGATTCCCAGTGGCCATCAGTTTTTCCTTCTTAGTTGGAATCCCTCCGTCTCCGGATCTGGACTTTGCTCCTTCACTCACTGCTCCCAGCCAAGGAGTCTGGGCTGGGCTGGCATCCTGAGTGTCCCCATTTAGAAGAGCCAGGAGCAGGTGAGAGTTGGGAGGCCCGGGCTGGGTCAAGGCTGAGCTGCTGCCTCTGTTTCTCAGGGAGCTGTATGGGCTGCGCTACCAACTTCTCAGTGCTGAAAAAGAGGGTAAGTCTCCTTGAGGGAGGGTGTGTTTGCCGGGGACTTGGGGCAAGATGTAGGGGAGTAGTGGTGAATCATCGATGACATCTGACTCCTCGGGCCCCCTTGGGCCTGGGGTCCGAGGTTTGCTCAGATGAGCGGGAATCCCCTGCCCCTGTGCCCACACCTTTACCAGCCTTCCCATGGGATGTCCTGTTTGGTCTCAGTCCTGCCCCACTCAGGCACCTCCCCAGTCCCGCAGTAATCCCAGGTCCCTTGGGTGGGATCAGCTGGTGGAAAGAAGAGGGGTGCTGGGGGATCCATCTGATACTGACCTTGGCTTTTGTCTGCAGCGGAGCTGCAGTAACTGTGGAAACAGCTTCTGTTCTCGGTGCTGCTCCTTCAAAGTGCCCAAGTCCTCCATGGGGGCCACAGGTGAGTGAAGCAGGTGGCGGGGGGTCAGGGCAGTGGCCCGGGGTCAGGGCAGGGGGATGGCTGGGCTGATTCCTGCCTCCTCTACGGGGGTGCTGCGTGGTGGGAGAGGAGCGAGGGGTCAGTGAGAGGTCAAAGGAGCTTGGGAGCCTAGTCTGGCCCATAGTAACATCTCCTCCATTGCACGTTAACGAACAAAAAACTGAAATATTTGATGCATGCAAAAGAATATACGTAATGTATCTGATTTATGAAGCATCATAACGAGTACCTGTGACTGCTTCACTAAAGTTACAAAATAGAGCAACATGCCCGGGCTCTGGGTGCCACTCCTGCCTTCTCCTGAGGGCACCGCCGCCCTGACTTTTGTTCTTTTTCTCATGACTTTGGTAACACTTTCAACAAAACAAAAAAAATCATTTCTTTTCCTTCTATAAAAGCTGTACATACATATTGTAAACAACAAAACAATACAGATAAGAGGAAGAGTGCCAACGTGCACACAGGATAAATGCGTGCGTGCTTTCTAAAGAAATGGGAGCATGCCTTACGTGTTGCCTTGTAATGTGTTATAATGATACATCAAGTTTTTTTTATCCTTCTGGTCATGCAAGTAACATATGCTTATTCTAGAAGATTTGGAAATTACAGAAGAAGAAGGAAGAGAAAAATAATCCTGTAATCTTACCACCCAGAGATAACCACTGTTAAAACATTTTGGAAAATTTTCTTCTGGTATTTTATTTAAAAAAACATTTTTAAAGGTGTTCTGTTGGTGCCAGAATAAGTTCTGATGCGTAGAACACCTGGGAGAGGCCTGCTGTTGGCACGGTCACCCCGAAGTCCCTGGTTCCCATGGGAAAAGTAGTCTCCAAGGGCAGCTAGTGAGCTGGTTCAGTGAGGGTGTGGGCTGGGTGGTGGGGGGTCTTTGGGGCTTTAGCGGGGTGGGGAGGTGGTTCTAGTAGTTGGGGCCTTGAGCCAAGGGCATGAGGAAGCGTCTCATCAAATTCTTCCTCCTTTTCAGCCCCTGAAGCCCAGAGAGAGACTGTGTTTGTGTGTGCCTCATGTAACCAGACCTTGAGCAAGTGAGAAGAGGGGCCAGGGTCTACCCTGGGGCCAGCAGTAGACCCACTTCCCCACCCCTTGCCCCATGTGGTGTGTGCTGGGCAAATGTGGCCCGAACGCTAGGTAGGCCTCCCCTTCCTGCCCTTGCTATCTCCAGCCAGGTTCTGGAGCTGTTCCCCACTCCTGCAGATGGCTGGTGATAGCTGTTCTCAAACCCTAGAGGGGTGAGGAGCCCCTGGAGGATCTGGCATTGCCCTGCTCTGCCCTGGCCTGGGCTGGTGGACTCAGGGCTGGGCAGGGAATATAAGCTAGAGGGCAGCAGTGAGCCAGGCCTGGTCTCAGTTGGGATCTCTGAGTATCAGGGCGTCTCTCCACACCTGGGAAGTCTAGGAGACCAGAGATCAGAAGTTGGGAAGAGGTTCTCCCCACACTGGGTATTGAGCCAAGCCTTTGGCCTCTGAAAGCCTCCAGAAGGGCCTGGGAGTGCCATGCCCAACTCTGCTGTTTGAATGTCCTTCCAGGCATCAGAATCTCATCATTTCCCCGTCAGAGAGTGTGGCCAGGGCTAACAAGACCAAAGTGCTTCTAGAAACAGGGTTAAGTTCCCAAGTTCCCCCAGAGGAGGACGTGTCTAGGAGGGGCTGGCAGAGTCCTCGTTATTAAGCGGGACAAAGCGTGGGGAGCCCCAGCAGCGTAGAGGACCTCCGCCCCACCTTGCGGAGACCTTGACTTGCAGAATCTCAGCCCATATATTGCCCTGGTGTCCTCAGCCCTTAGTCCCCAGGTAGATGCTGGGCACTCAGATCACTCTGCTCCCCTGCTCAGAGCATAGAGCACCTCTCCTTTGGCCCAGAGCTGTATTTCCTCTCCCCAGGCCCTCATCCCATGGAGTGTGAGACCAGAGCAGAGGTCCTGAAGCCCTTGACCCTTGGGGGGCGGGGAAGTGTAGGATCTCGCCGTGCTGGGTTCTAGAGTCCAGGGCTGTTCCCGAACAGCACAGTCTCAGTTGTGGGATAAGGCCAATTGGGGTCCCCATCCTCTCTCCAACAATTTCATGTTCCCTTTTGTACTCTTAGGGGCTCAGTTTCTCTCCCTAAGCCCTGAGCGGGCTCAGGCACCCCTTCCTTTCCCTGGAGCTGTCCTGCCTTTTCAAGTATTTATTTATTTATTGTGTGGTTCCTGGGAACATGTGGCATCCTGGGATGAGGAGGATGGGGGGCTTCTTCTCCCCCAGTACGCTTCCGTGGGTCATGGGCTGCCTAGGACCCGGAGCCCATAGGAGGCAGAGATGTTTCTGTACCCTAAGCAGGGACCCAAGGAGGCAGGTTGAGGAGACAAGGACCATCCTAGGCCAGCTTTCTTGCCAGGCCAACCAGTCTAGCTAGGGCTGGGCAACCAGGGGCCTGCTCCAGGCCAGGGAGGTGAAGTCCCTGGGGAGCGGACCTTGGTATACCCCCTTCTTCGGGCTCCTTTATCCTGGTAGGAGATGATCTTTAAGTACCCTGTACTTTATTTACACTGGAGAGGAACTAAAAGGATCTCTTTGTATATGGAGAATTGTCAATAAAAAGGCCTCAAGCTTCTTATGTTTTCATGCTGGTCCTTGTGCTCACCCTCTCTGGAGAGCCAGAGCCCCCCAGCACTGGCCGAGTTTGCAGGCCTGGGCTGTACTTGCCGGACAGGGCTGGAGGGGGTGTGGAGGCTGAAGTCTGGGTGAGTAGGGGCAGCCGGAAGGAAAGTGGTGCCTTGCGGGGGAAGGCTCAGCACATATTTGTCGGATTGACCTGAGGCTCTGTCTTATGACCGAATTGTGAGGGCCGGGGGTTGGGGTTGGGACCAGAACTTGGTAAATGCTAAGCAATGCAGGCTTCACAATGGAAAGATTTTAGCTAATCCCTCTGAGAAAGCAAAAAAGGATCAGTCCTCCGGGAATCTGAGAGCCAGCCGGATTGGCTATAAAATGGGAAGTATAAGCAGTTCTCTGAGAGCTGGAGTGTGTGGCGTGTTCACTGGGTGCCAGGCACCGTGGGAAGTGCTTTACACATGTCTTTTTGTTTAATCCTCATGACGCCGTATGAGGTAGGCACTGTTCTCCCCATTTTAGAGGTAAGGAAGTTGAGGCCCAAGGAAGTTAAGTAGTGGCTGTGAAAGGCCTGGCATGGCACTTTGCAGGCCAGAGCTGGGTATGAGTTGTGTCTTCCAGATGGTAGGCCTGGGGCAGTAAAGAGGGAGGGGGAGGCCCTGCCTCGGGGAGTTGAGGTTAGGTGGCAGCTACATCCTCATGGTCCCATGCACGTGCAGCTCAGACCGTGAGATGCCATGGTGTCCTTGCAGCAGGCCGAGGCCTTGGTCTGGTCTAGATGGGCTTCTGCCTAGCCCAGAAACTTCCCCTAGTATGAGGGAGCCCCAGCAGCTCCTGAGGGGCCCCGAGAGGCAGGGAAGCAGCCAGGACCTTTGTTCACTTCGTAAAGTACCAAAGTGGCCTCAGCAGCCTTGTGGTCCAGAGGAAGAGTAAAGATTTTGGAGGAATGGAAAATAGGGCATTGGAGCAAAAGGGGACAGCAGTGATAGCACTACCTGGGGAAGAGGCGGCTGGGGCTGCGCCTGTGCTTCTGCGTGCGTCATAGGTGGGTCAATTGGAAGGATGCTCAGAGATCATCCAGTCCAGCCCCTCACTGTGGACGTGACACCATGTCCATTTGAGGATGTGTGTTCCCCACAGCGTTAGAGGATGGAGGCAGAAGGGACTTCCCTTAGAACAGGAGCAGCCTGCATCAGCCGGTGAGTCCCGGCAGCAGTAGAGGCAGGTGGGCTGGCTCCACGCTTGGCCCTCCTCTGCCATCGGCTGCAGCCGTGCCGGAGTGAGTTGCCCCAGGAGCATTGCCCCCAAGCCTTTCTGTGCTGCTTTTGTCATCTGTAAAGTAGGCATGATAGTGATACCCTACCTCCTAGGGCTGCTGGAGGATGAAATGAGACAGTCCACCTGAGGCGTGGAGTGTGGTGCCTGGCACCCAGTTAAATGCACAGTGAATGCTAATCACTGCCATCTTCCTGGCAATCTTCAGAAAGAGAACAGACACTGCTCCGGATGGCTTAGGACAGTGATTTTTTTTTTTTTTTTTTTAAACCTTAGAATAGTCTTATTATTCAGAAAAGAATCTCAGAGAGGGGCTAGAGTGTACTTTGAAAAAGCAGAGTCACTATCATTTCATTTTGGGAAAATGAGCACAATGCCTGATGTTGGTGATATACAGACTATAGCATGTGTGGCTTCCGGGACATGGGATTCAGGGCTGTGAGAAACATGGTTTTCATCTTCTGGGGTCAGTAGCCTCACAGAAGGGAAGCCAGGGGGACACCTCCTTGTCCCCTTGAGGTGTGTGAGGGCCTCAGTAAGAGCAGCCCAGGGATGACGACTTTGAAGTGCAGGTACCACTGGGAAAATGAAGCCACGGCAGGCTTTACCAGGATTGGATTGTGCCCTACAGCTGGCTGGGTCACCAGCGTGGAGAGGACTGAACATGGGGTGGCCTGGAAGACAGATCATCCGTTATAGAATTGGATGCCTGGCAGCTTTGTTCTCAGGCACGCAGTAGGAGGGGACGGTCGCCAGGTTCTGCTGGGGCAGATCTGGGATGGACCGCCTGCTCCCGCAGCCTGGCTTAGGTCAAGGGTTCTGTCGAGCTTTCGTGGTTTGGTGGGGTGGGGGAGCAGCCTCCAGGAAGCCCTGGCAGACCTCAAACTGGTTGTGGTTTCTGGGGTCTTCAAGATTTGTGGTCATTGGTCACCTGGCCCTGAGAGCGGAAGCCAAACGAGGCTCCATTTTCATCCCCTTGTCTCCTTGGGACCTTCAAGGCACCCGTTTTGAGGGGCCCTGGCCCCAGCATCTGTCGTACAGCTGGGGGCTCAAAGATCATCCTACATTTATTGAGCACTTGTGCCAGGCAACCTGCTGAGCATGTCATCTCATTTAAACTTCATGACGATCCTGGAAGCTAGGGTCTGTTACTAAATACTCCATGTAACCGATGAGTAAGTGGAGGCCTGAGGAGGCTAAGGAAGCTTCCCGGGGTCACATAGCTAGCAAGCTGTGCAGCCAGGGAGTGAATTGTGCCACAGGTGCTTGTAGATGCCTCATTAGAGGAACTTTGGGTGAAGACAGCAACCCTGGCTGTCACCCTCCCCTCTCTTCTGCCGTGCCCCCACCAGCTCCAGGAGCTTCTGAGCCCCTGAGCTAACTAACAGGAGGGGCCTGCCCACCCCCCACCCTGTGAAGTGGGCTCAGCCTCCAGGGGAACAGAGGCAGCCTTGTGGCAGGAGCTTCCCCAGCTCCAGCACCGCCCGCCTTCCTTGGCTGGGTCTGTTTCTATAGCCCAGAGCAGCACATTCCATTCTCTGGCACAGCCGGGGGCTGGGGATTCTGGATTCCCCTTGCCGCCTGCTTTCTTCAGGGCCCCAGCAGAGCCTGCCGTCTGAGCTGGGACACTGGGTCCCAGCCACGCACATTCCAGCAGCAGCCACCCCCCACGTTGGATTTCCCAAAGAGTGAACTTTAGCCAGGATTACAGCCAACTAAACAGTTGTGGGATGTGAGCTTCCTTTGTGGGACTCAAGAGGCTGGATGCTGACAGGGCTGAGAGGGGAGGAGGGGTTGGATGGGGGTGGGCTGCTTTGGGAGTCGGGAGAAAAGCCATGGTCTGAGGCTGGCTCTGACGCTGTCAGGGCCCTTAGAGTGGGGTCTGAGCAGGACTCCCAGAAATCTTGTGAGGCAGGGTGGCACAAGCATGGCTGCCTGCACCCCAACTCCTGTCCTCTGCTTTGTCTCCTGCAGGCAGTAGTACAGCAGTTAAGAGCATGGGGTCAAATCCTAGCCCCACCACTATATTCAAGCTGTGTGTCCTTTAACGAGCTCATTAATCTCTCTGAACCTCCTCCTCCTCCTCATTAAAACGGGTATACTAATAGTACCTACATCAAAGGGCTGTTGGGAGGCTTAAATTCAAATGCTAAAGTTGCTTGAGTAGTGCCTGCCACCCAGCCCAGACTTGATATGTATCGTATACTAGAGTATTATATGTCTCCTCACCTGTGTTGGCTGACATGCCACCTGGGGATGTATTTTCCTAAGCAAAACCCCAAGTGTAGGTTCTGTCCCCCTTCTGAAAGTAACAGTTCTGGCTTTTAGATAAGATGTTCCTGTCTTTTCCCTGCCTTCCTGCCAGTAGCATTTCTTAGTTGATGAACAAATCAATGAGGAACTTACTGAGCACCTATTATGTGTAGGCAGTGGGCCAAGTCAAGGCCTTTGGTTAATAGAAATACTAATTACCATTTAATGAACATCTCAATGCTGGGCATTGTTTCCAGGTGCATTTCATACATATCCCCACTTAACACTCAGCCACCCTGCGAAGTAGACGTGATTACTCCATTTATAGCTGGGCAGTGCTCCCACTGTCACACGGTCACTACATCCCAGGACTAGAACCCAGAACTGGGCTCTTCTGCCTCTCCTCACCTGGTGCTGAGCGTGTAGTGGCCTACCCCAGATCCTTCGTGTTCTTTATCAGAACTCTGTACCAGCTGGGACATTTGACTTTCTGTGCTCCTTTGCAGCTAGGGATGGCCCTGTGCCTTAGTTCAGGCTGGTGAGCTAGAAGTGGAAATCTACCAGGTGGCACTTGTTGGGAAAAATGACTGTTTTCGTGATGAAAGGGCCAGAGCCTTTGCTCTCAGCCCTTCTCCACCTTGCTGCCTGGAATGTGATGGAGAAGTTGGGAGGAGGAGGCACCATGTTGTAACCATGAGAACAGAGGCCACCCCCTGGCAGAGCAGAAAGACAGAATGAGTCTGGAACCTGGACGTCCCGCCTGCCCACCTCCAGACCTCTTGTGTGGAGAAGCCCACTGTTTCTTGAGGTTTCTGTTTCATATAGTCAGAGGCAATTGTTCACCGATTCACAGCCCAGGTGCTCACCGGGCAACACTAACTGCCTGTCTCCAGACCAACCAGGAGGGAGCATTTGTGACCGAAGGAAATGAAGGGTGGGCTCAGGCCTTACAGGGCCTCCTGGGTCTTTGGGGGGACCCCAGGGAAGAGACTGCTGGGGGGTCTGAGAGCAGATGTTGGGGACAATGCTGATGTACAGAGCAGGGCCTGGCCCTTTGTGGGGGTGGGCGAGGAGTGCCATACTGGAGCTTCTGGGATGGGCTGAGGAAACCTCTCCCTGCCTGCTCCCTCTCACCAGCTACCAGCAGCTGACAGAGGTCAGTATTGTGCTCTGGCCAGAAGCAGCCTGATCCTGTGTGTTCAGTGGAAAAATAATCCCTGGTCCTGGTTGACCATAGAAGTGTCCATAAATATTTGGTGGGGGTAGGCTGGGAGACAAGGGGTGGATTGAGGGAGTCAGGTGGGCTGGGCAGGCTTTGGGTGAGGGTGGGTGGCAGTGGCTTCCTCAGAGGTGAGGAGAAACAAGCAGGCCTCTGCTGCCCCTGCCCTGTGGTGAGGCCACCTGACTGCCCAGGGAGGCGATTTATGGGCTGGCTGTCAGACCACCTGTTAGCTCACACTGGCCCCTCAGCAGATTTTGGGCCCTCCAGCCTTCCTCGTTTCTCTGCGGCAACATGCTCTTCTGAGAACCGCAGAAGCCAAGGTTTTCCTGACCTCAAGAGAATGTGGCTCCATTGTCTTGGAGGAGCAACAGGCCTGTGAGGAGAGCGCCTCTGGGGGTGTCCCCACCCCCCTGCTCTGGGTACATCTGCCCTGTCCCTCAGCATTGCTCACCCTCATCCTGCCTCAGCGGTCCATCTAGATAAGATGGAGGTTCTCAACTCTGGCTGCACAGCACCCCAGGGAGCATCTAGAAATGTTGATTTCTGAGCACCCTCCAGAGATTGGGATTTAATTGCTTTAGAGTGGGGCCCGGTATTTTCTAAAAGCCCCCTAGATGATTGGAAGGTTTACTTGGTAAAATGCAGATTCTGATACTGCAGGTCTGGGGTGGGGCCTGAGCTTCTACATTTCTAACCAGCTCCCAGGTGGTGCCGATGCTCTCTCCAGGGACCACGCTTAGAGTAGCACCAGCCTACACCGTCATCTGCTGCAGGTCAGGACCAGTGCCCAGGGGTGCCTGAGTGCTGAAGGGTTGGGAGTGACACGTTAGGATTCTGGCTCTGCAGAGCAGTCCCTGTGGCCCAGCCTTCTCGGGCTCCTTGGAGCAGGCATTGCTGTGTCAGGGAGATGCTACAGGACGGTCCGTGGGAGCCTTCTGACTGAGGGAGAAGGCTGGGGAACTGGGCATCTCTGTCCCTCCTCAGGGACAAAAGGATGGTCATCTCCATCCCTCAGTTAGTGGTGGGGATGAGAAGGGTGACCCTTGCTGTGTGCTCTTGGGGGATCCTACAAAAACACGGGCCTGGCTCTCCTTAGGCATTCCAAGTATGTGTGTGGACGGGCCGTGGGTTACGACAAAGGCCTCTTTCTAAAAGTCCCTTCTGAACCTCCCTCTCCCCACCTCTGGGGAACCAGCTGACAAAGGAATCACCTGGTTAAAACCAACTGTTGTTTTCTTTGATTTAATTAAAAACTTAAAAAAAACAAACAAAAAAACCCAAACCCTACCTGCATCAGTCTAGTGCCTATGGCCTCGCAGCGGTAGCAATAATTTACTCGTCAGGGTAAAAGGGACATGCGGAGGCTGAGGAATGAACCCTGAGAAGCGAGCCTGTGGGAGGGGTCTGGGCTGGGCTTCTCTGCGGTCCAGTGGGAAGGGAAACGGGCAGAGACGGGGAAGGTGGGGAGAGGTGGCTGGAGGGCACTGTGACCCTAGGGCCTTTCCTTTGGGGGGGCTACGATGAGGACATGTGTAGGGGCAGTGGGGGCAGAGGACTGTCCCCCAAGTAGCTCAGCCTAATATCAAGACTTGTCTCTCCAAGGCGAGGGCCCACCACTGACAGGAGTTGACACCACTCTGAAAGCCACCTTCTCAGGCTGCTCAGAGCCCCTCCAACCTTCCCTTGCTCTCTCCACCCTCTGCCTACTTTCTGAGACCCTGGGGTTTCCCTCCAAATGAGAAAGCCTTGCTCCTAAGACAGGAAGCTCCCAGGGACCTCAGAACCCCTTGGTCAAGGACAGCCCGGCCTCCACGCCCATCCCTTAGGGCCTGTGCTGGGTACCAACTCTGCATGAAACTGCCCTCAGGCAGGGACTGGGTCAACCTGGGGGTAGGGGCGAGGCCAGGTGGGCAGGAGGAGAGAGTGTGCCCTAGGGGCGGGACAGAGGGCAAGGCATAGCTGGCTGGGTGGGGCAGGGAGGAGCGCCCTTCAGTGGGGTTCAGCGGCCCCATAGAAGAAGGGGTAGTAGAGGGAGCAGGGGTAGGAGAACATGAATTTGACCGCGAACTTCATCTCCTTATTCTTCTTGTCCCAGCGGTAGACGGCCATGAGCAGCAGCTGTCCGTCCACTTTGCGGCCCATGACCAGGAAGCTGCCGGCCAGGCTGTCCAGCTGTGGGCAGGGGCAGCCGGCGCCGTTCTTCATGTGCAGCACCAGCCTCTTGGTGTCCTTGCGCTTCAGGGGGCCCGGCTTGAGCAGCTTCTTCTTTTTCTGGGCTCCAATCAGCTTCCGGTCCCCATTCTCTACCTTGATCTCCTTGATGCGCATTTTGACCACTGTTGGTGGGGGGGGGGACGTGGACAGAGAGACAGCATGACAACGGTCAGGTTTGCTCAGGGCGCTGATGGCCCCACAATTTGTGCTCGTGCCTGAAGCTCCAAGCCTGGGGCGTGGGGAGGTGGAGCTTATATGTGTCCATTTAATATACATGAAGCTCCTATCACATGCTGGACTTTCCCCAACGTTATCACATTTCATCCTCGACACACTGGGGAAATGAGGTTTGGAGAGGCTGTGACCTGCCTGGATCCTAGAGCCTGGATTGAACCGAGGTCTGGCCGACTGCAGAGCCTGTGCCTTTCCCTGACACCAAGTCGGGGGTGGAGAGCTTTAGATGGGGAGTGGAGCAGGGTGTTGGGCTCCCTGGGGAGGGAAATATTGGGGGTGGAGCTGACCAACTGAGGGAGGGGGTTGGTGGAGTGGGGTCCTTGTGATGGAGGGAAGCTGGACTTGGTGATCTCTGGGGATGCTGCCAAATGGATTTCTGGCTGTGTGTGTGTGAAGTGTGAGTGTGGTTGGAGCAGTGGTGGGCTGGTAAATGTGTGACAGCCGGCTCTGGGGAGGGGTCCTGCTCTGTAGCATGGGCTGGTTTCCATGGGGTAAATACCCACCACAACCCACCGGATCACTGGGCATAGGGTTGGGAAGCTCTGCACACAACCAGCTCTTGCGAACGCACCACTGTGATCTGTGTGACACTGTGAAGTGTGGGTGGGAGTGTGTATGTGTGGTGCTGTGTGTTTTTGTGTATTAGAGTATGTCTGTGGTGTGTGTAGGAGTGTGAGTGTGTGGGGGGCAGAGCGTGGAGGTGGCTGAAGGCCAGAGAGTGGTCAGAGAGTGACTGTCCAGGGCACTCTGAGGTGGCCACAGAGAGTCTGATACAGTTGGGGATAGGAAGTCCTGAGCTTGGGGGAGGTCACTTAGGCTACTCTCCTCTTCCTTCAGCGTCTGGGCCCCCTTCTCTGTGATCAGCCAGAGAGAAGCCAGAGAATAACTGTCCACCCAGGGAAGGAAATTGTTATAGACTCGCTTTCCTGCTCTCTCTTTCTTCTCCTACCTCCTCTCTCTCTTTCAGACCCACATACCTTGCAATAGTACTATTCTCTTTCCAAACAGATTAGCGACATAAAAGACCTACTGAAGTAAGGATTTCATTGCTATCTCTTTTTTGTAGACAGAGAGGCTAAGACACAAAACAGGAGCCGACTTGGCAAAGATCACATGCTGGGCTCTGCGGTCCACGAGGAGCCAGGTCCTGACTAGACTTGGGTCAGCTGCCCAGGAATGGGGAGGCTCCTGGATGAAGCTGTGGGACAGGTGACCACAGCTCCCCTGGCCAGAGGTGCCTCAAGTACTAGGCAGAGGTGCCCAGGGACGAGGGGCTGCACTTCCATCCTGGAGCCCATCTTCCACCTGCTGCCCCCATCCATCTCCAGCCTAAGCCTGCTTCTCCCAAAGAGAATCCAGCCCTGGAGGCCCCTCTGTGGACAGCGCCAAGGGAGGGCCTCAGGAGCCCTGGCCAGCGATGGTTCTGAGGCCCACGGACCATGGCCTTGAGGGGCTTCTGAAGCCCCTGAGATGTCTTGCAAAAACAGGCGCATTTCTGTGGGGAGAGAGTTCATGGTTATCATCAGATTCTAAAAGGGGTCCATGATGCAAAAACTGTTAGGACTCACAGTGATGAGTGTGGGCACATTCGTGTGTGTGTGTGTGTCAAGGAGGAGGGGCTGGGCTGGCATCGGGGCAGTGGCCACGTGGGCTCCACACTCACCAAAGTCGCTGGAGCACATCTGCTCCATGAGGCCGTCGGCGCTGTGCTCCATCTCACACTGGGCGCAGATCTTGGTCACTGGAGAGGGAAGCAGGGGTGGGGTTGAGGGAGGCTGGTGGGGGGATCAGAGTCCAAAGAGCCACTTAGGATGCAGGCTTCCCCACTGAAGAGCCACCTCCCCCTGCCGAGCCTCCACTTCGTCATCAGGAAATGGGAGGACAGTAGTGATGAGACCACCTGCTCACTGAGTGGTTGTGAGGTTCAAAAGAGACAAGGTTGTGCAGGGACAAAACTGCCCAGGTGGGCACGACTGCCCCATGACCCTGGCAGCTGCAACCGTGATGTGCAGTGTCTTCTTCTAATAGAAATTTTGTCTCATTTAATCCTCAGCCTATGAGGCAGGTATAATTATTCCTATTTTAAAGAAAAGGAAACTGAGGCCCCTAGTGGCTACCCAAGTCTGCAAAGCTAGTGAGAACTGAGCTTAGCACTCAGGATTTGTGATTCCCAGGCTAGTGCTGGGGTGGGGGTGTTTGTGGAATCTTTCTAGGAACACGAGGTCCAGGCAGGTGGGTAAATGAGTGACACTGGCAGGGCAGGGTCTGTGGTAAACTGAGGGACACCCCTTCTAAAGTGGCAGCTTAGCCTGGCCAGAACTTCCGATTTTTCAAGGGAAGCCAAAACTCAATTTTTTAATGAAATATTCTCAGTTTTATCTCTTGGCCGCACAAACACTTCAGGCTGCCTCTGGTCCTCAGGCCACCACACAGCACCTGACCTTTGCTCTCCTAGCTGGGCGCCCCATCGTGGGGAAAGGGGGGCCCAAAGAGGGCGGGAGTGCGAGGGCAGGGCCGGGATTCGAGCCTGGGATTTCCCTGCCTTCCAGGCTAAGTCTGGGCTCCAAGAAAACCAGTAAAGGAGCCATGCCAGGATCCCCACTGGGGACTGTGCTCTCTCCCCACTGCTTCCCCGTCCCATTTCCAACCTGAGGATAGGCGGGTTTCCCTTCTCTTGACCCTGCCCTGTCACAGGACCCCCACCCAACCACAACTCTCAGGAGGGCATGGGTGTGTAGGGCCCGGGACTGTGGACTGCGTGGGTGAGGTTAGCCCTGAGGGAGTGGGTGGGGCGTGGAGGGTCCAGCTGCTTTTTGGGGGCAGAGTCATAGGGAAAAAGGGGAGCAGTGCTGCCCTTTGGGGGAGTCCCAGCGTCAGGGGCTCCTTAGACTCGATTAACCGCCCAGGCAAAGCTTTCCTGCTCGTGGCCACTGTTTAGCTTCCTGTCTGGTGCCTGGCCGGGGTTTCCTCTGCCTGGAAGGAGTTAGGCAGACAGTGGGGGAAGGGTCAAGGGGTACACTCAGTGAAGGGGAGGCTGAGACCAGGGAGGAATTAGGGGTAATGGGACTGGGGGTAGGTGGGAGTGGCACTTAGGGTCTTATAGGTTTGGGGAACCTGGGATTGCTTCCTCTTTTACAGATGGGAAAACCGAGGCTCCAAGTTTAGCAGCTCGCCTAAGGGCTCCATGTTAGGGGGAGAGCCTGGCTATCTGCTCTTTGTTCTGCACTGAGCCTTACCCAAGGGTCTCCCAGCCTGGGGGTCGGGGAAGAGGGTGGGAGAATTTAGGGTTCCCAGGCACAGAAAATGGGGGGGGCATAGCCCAGGAGTGCGCTTAGCCCAGGTCTTTTGCTATATCTCTTCCCTAGGCCCTCCTCCCTCCCAGGGTCCTAACACGGAGTAGGGGTGCTGCTTGTCTTGGTGCCCCGGGGTCCAAGGTGCTGTGGAGGAGGAGAAAGGCATTGTTTATCCAGCCTGGGCATTCTTGGGCTGAGTGAGGTGATAAGGCATCTATAGGGACAGCATTGGGGTCACTCCAGGGATTCCAGCGGCTTGAGAAGGTGGGCCCCAGTGAGGGACGCCAGGGGGGTTTTCAGGAACGGAGTTGGAATTGGGGAGAACCAGTGGGACTGTCCAGAGCAGCAGGGAGGCACTAATCTGGTAGTCCATGGTGGGTCAGAAGGCGGGAAGGCTGCGGGGGACAATTCCCTGGGCACGCGGGGCTGAGTGAAGACGGGTGTGTGTGTGTGTGTGTGTGTGTGTGTGTGTAGACGGTGTGTGTGTGTAGACGGTGTGTGCGGGGCTGAGTGAAGACGGGTGTGTGTGTGTGTGTAGACGGTGTGTGTGTGTAGACGGTGTGTGTGTGTGTAGACGGTGTGTGTGTGTAGGGGGTGGCACCTCCGGGGGGCTCGCAGAGCTGTGGTAAGGGATTGGGGGAGCGGCATCCGTCCGGCCCACCTCGCGGGCACCCAGCGGCGGCGCTACCTGGAGGCGCGGTGGCGGGCAGGTGCCCGAACTGCACGGCGATGCAGAGGTCGTTGTCCAGGGGGAACTTGTGGCAGTGCAGCATCTCGGGCCAGGGGAAGCCGTAGGCCTCCATGAGCGGCGCGCAGCCGGCGCGCACGGCCTCGCACAGCGAGCGGCACGGGTAGATGGGCCGGTCGAGGCAGACGGGCGCGAAGAGCGAGCAGAGGAAGACCTGCGTGTCCGAGTGGCAGCGCTTGGCCAGCAGCGGCAGCCAGCTGCTCGCCTGCTGCTTCACCTCCGCCAGGCTCTCGTGCTCCAGCAGGTTGGGCAGCCGCATGCGCTTGTACCCCACGGTGTGGCAGAGCGGCAGGTCGGCGGGGATGTCGAGGCACTGCGGCGGCTTGGAGTACGAGCGCCCGTGCAGCGGCTCGGTCTGCCAGCCGTAGTAGTCGTACTCCTCGCCGCGCGCCGGCGCCCGCTGCAGCGCCCCCAGCAGCAGCGCCAGCGCGGCCGCCCGTGCGACCCCC